TATTACAGGGCTGCACAAGGTACTGAAAAAGGGACAGCGCTTTGAGTGAATGCGTTATCCATGTATCTGCAAATGAAGCAGATCCCCCAGTTATTATACTCATGGAGAGTGTAACAACTTCCAACTTGTTAATGACGGAACTCCATTTAAATCAGGTACAAGTTAAAGTTTAGGCTGCACAATTCTTTATTACAATATTCAAAACTTAATAATTCAGGATCAAGTTCACACAAGCTCACATTCCATGGTTACTTACAACACCATTATGCAAGATAAATTTGTTATACACTTTCATGTTAAATAGTCAAATTTGATTGGTTTAAAAAACATTTGTTAACAAGTACTATTACCATACTGCATGCCAGACATTACATCCCAATGGTTGAAAATGCATGACTACGGGTAACAGTATATATAGTAATAAAAAATGTTAACTGTGCAGAATGTTTGCACGTTCGTTTCACCTTGTTGTTTTCTTTAAAATGCATTCTATAACAAGAAAAATATTACCTGTTTATTTTGGGTGATGTGAAATTCTTACCCCTTAAAAACCATTGCTGACCGAGGCGAGGTCAGCGATGTTTTTTGTGGTATAACAATTACACGTTATCCTACTAAACATGTAATATTTTCATGTTATATGTACTTCTATTTGTAAATGTTAATGACTGTGAAAAACATAAATATTTATAAATTAGTAAAATCAATTTAATACACTATGAATACACAAAAGGACAAATTTGTACATAATTCTCTATGATTTGGTTAATTAGTTTATATAAAGGATGTAAATGGACATGACATATCATTGTTAATATTCAAGAATGTGTTCACTGTTTTTCTTGTAGATGCTCCTTTCCATCTGATGTTTTCCAGGTTTTTGTGAAAAGTTTTCTTAAAAATGGCACAATTCAACTACAAATACTATGCCAGTGGAACTGTGATATCAATCAACTGCTTATGACACTATTAATTGGCAGAGAATTTATTTTTTTTTATTTGGGACAAGCAATCTGTTTCAAACATTTTATACCTGCAAATTGGTACATGTACTTCATGAAATGCTTGAAGGATGCTAAAGGCTACTGAAATTCCAAGCCAGATGAAATTCAAAAGGATTGATACAAAAGTCATTTGAAGTTTTCTATTCTTAGTGATGAGTGTTTTTCAGGATGCCCTCTGATATCATAGGTACAACTGGTCACTGTCCTTTGTTAGTTACACATGCAGACAACTTATTAAGGCAGTGATATAAGTAGCTCGAAGTGATGCTTTATTGTTTTCCTCAGATTTATAACCTGGATTGATCTCTGATGCAGTAATTTAAAGCCATGTCTTTTCACTGTCACAAAGTACTGAAATAAAAATAATTTTGATTAAAATATTTCTTTTAATTCACATCATTAAATTTTTAAGCTACAGAAATTCATATTAATTACCTATTAGTAAATAGAAATCTTTAATTGATTAGCAAGCCTTTGCATTGTCAGATCCTTTTCTGAAAGGGCCATTTACCTTTAACAATGTCAGGACAGGTGAGGCAACTGGCTGGTCTTCATGCTGGAAGTGTGTGTTAACTCTGTAATCTTTTTAAACAAAACCATCCAGTGATGTCCTAAGATTGCCAGATGAGCAGACATATACCTGTATTTAAGAAAGATTCTGTAACATGACATAGAATTTTTGCACAGCTTGACGCACAACTGATGGTATCTTAGGTGCCTGCAAAATAATAAATCTGGCACATATTTATTTATTTGATACAAATCAGAACAAAATTTGTCCTTTTACAGAACAAATTATTTTCATTTTAAAGGAGAAATGCATATGTACTGTTTTAATACATATAACCTGTATTATTGGATATTTTCACCCCATTCTAATTTTTAAAATATTCACTCTTTCACCCTTGAAAACAATTTTGCCCTTTTAAAATTTGATCAGACACATTTGTGTTTAAAAGATATATGCTGCCTTCTTCGAATTTGTCCCGTTTTAAATTCACCTACTTGTAAGGAGGGCAGAATGAGAAAAATAAAACTTAACTGGGGCGAAAAATTTCCAGAACAAAGTACCATTACTTGCCTGCCTGTTGTACTATAACTCGATCCTCCAACCTTACAATATTCTATAATTATTACAAGTTAATAAAGACAGTAAAACAATGTTAACAACATTTATATGCAAATGAACCTCTGTACAAATCACTTATAAATGATTGACAACTTGTATGGAATATATCGAATACCCTTAATTTTGACATTTGGAAACCCAGCGTTAAGGCCAAACAAAAAATATGTGTGGTTCTGGTTCTGGTTACACCTCCAAAAAAAATAGGGAAGGTGGGTAGGGATTTTTTTTTTTTTTTTTTTAACAAAATGATTTTCTAAATTTTTCCAAATAATACCCATTTCTTTTCGTTAGCATAAGTGAACTATTTTATGTGTAGAGTGTTAGATATGTTTTCTCTTAAGCATATGGATTAGTTATGTGCTTTAATGTGTGAATAAAATGTCTTGGGTATTTAAACAGTTGTTTGCTGATTCTATTCATTTGAGTTCATACTCATCCAGAAAATACAATGTTTGAAGAAAATCAGCATGAGCAAATTGAATTATTTAACTGTTATTTGGATATTATATTTTCTTTTTTTAGAATGTTAAGTTTTTACGAAGATGATAAGTGCTGTCCTTGTTTTTAAAGGATGATATTAATTTCAGAATTGTATATTATAAGTAAAATTAATGGATATCTTAAGCATTATACATTAAATCTTAAATATAGATCATGATTTCTCCATCGGAATCTGCTGCGGAAGTCTTAAACTTTATACATGATGTACAGGTATATAAAATCTAAAATTGTATATTATAGAATGCGAAAAAACAGAAATATTTTGTGAAGAGCTGAGTATATAAATCATAACTAATAAATGTTTTGTTTATTTTGAATTCAGTCTTTTCCAACTATGGTTCAGAAAAGAAATGTTTTATTTGTGGATGAACAGAGTGAAGGAGAAAATAAGTGGCATTTCGATGTGGCGTGAAATATACTAGTCAACATTGGTAGGGGGCACCCTAGTTATGAATATGAAACAAATATTTTTAAATCAACAAGATGTGTTTGTGAAACACTGATGCCCCCATATGGCATCTTATGGCGAAGGTTAAAGTTTCTCAAATGCAAGTCAAAATCCAGGCCAAAAGATAAAAAATGTTAAATTTGAAAGCCCTAGCTGCAACTGTTCAAAAGTTATGGCAAAGGTTAAAGTTTTTTAAAAGTAAGTAAAACATCACGGTCAAGGTCAAAGTTGTTGGTATCCAAAGAAAGGTCTTGTTACAAGGATTACACATGTGAAGTATGAAAGCCCTAGCTCCAACCGTTCAAAAGTTATAGCCAAGGTTAAAGTTTTTCAAAAGTAGGTCAAACTCTAAGGTCAAGGTCAAAAGGTCATAGTTGTTGGTATTCAAAGAAAGGCCTTGTCACAAAGAATACACATGTGAAGTTCGAAACCCCAAGCACCAACTGTTCAGAAGTTATGGTCAAGGTTAAAGTCTCATAAAATTTTGCAAAAGTGGGTCAAACTCCAACGTCAAGGTCAAAAGGTCAAATATGATGGTACCCAAAGAAAGGTCTTGTCACAAAGAATACACATGTGAAATATGAAAGTCATAGCTCCAACCAATCAAAAGTTATGGGCAAGGTTAAAATTGACAACAGACAGATAGACAAACAGATAAACAGACAAACAGACAGACAGGACAAAAACAATATACCCTCGGGATCTTTCGATCCAGGGGCATAAAAATAATGAAAACACAATCTTTTCTTTTTGTAAAAAATAAAGTCCAAGGTGAACATCCTTTTGTTTAAAATCAGTGTTTATAAATGAAATTAATTACTTTTATCCAGAATAGTTCTTATTTTACTTAATAATAAATTTTGAACGATAAGCTTTTAAGAGCTGTCAGAGGAAAAGAATGTGACACCTATACTTTGTACAGTAATGTTTAAAACAAAATAAATCACCTAAGCAAGATGACATAGAATGATTCAAATTCGTCAGAATTACAAATATTTAATATTATTAAAATTTTAAATCCTTTCATGAAACCTTTTTGCCTCATTGAAGACTTCATACTTCCAAGCTCATTTCTCATATATATTGGTGTTTTGCAAGTTGACTTTATTCAGGTGAAATCAGCAGTCTTCTTTTTCACGTTTCCTCATGAACTGTTTTTTTTTTTTCTACTTTCGGTTTAAAAGAAACGATCCTGATATAAATTATTTAATAATTTACAAGTTAATCTATCTTACACATAGATTAACTTGCATAATTCTTGCATAATCAATGCAATCAAATAAATGTTTTCTCATGTTATCTTCCCTCTAACTCCAAAAAACGTTACCTGGCCAGCTGTCTGTGTGCTTTCAAGCGAGAAGTGACTTCACACCTTTGCGTGCATTAATAATAAAGGGACTAATCAACATGCACTTGTTATAAACCAGCTGTAAACAGAGCAACTAATTGAATCTCGCCACTCTTGGGCATATTTATTTAATTTTGGCAACCAAAAAACAAACAAACAAAAAACATGGCGCTGGAAAAAGGTATACTGCTGCGCCATGCTAGCTTGCTTTAGATTTAACACCATCAAACACTTGCACTACGTGTTGAAACGATTTTTGCATGGAGGTCGCCATTGCTGGAACTAAAACTAATACCGAAGTGGATGATGGAAATCACGGAAAATTCCGGAAAATAAATATGAAAATTGCCAGAAAAAAGGGTTGGGGATCTAAAATAGGGATGGTCGGGTAACGGGAACCACACATATTTTTTTATTTGGCCTAATAATATTCCATACATGATTGAGCTGTCACCTGATGATCGAACCTTTAATTCTTTTCTATTTTTTATATGCTTTATATGTATATGAATTATAAGAGTAAATGTAAGTCCAAAAACTTATTATGTGACATCAATTTCATACCTGTATTTGAGTTGCCTTTTTGAGGATATACCAGGTAGATTATTCAAAGTCGATGTACATGTAGTCTTACATGCTGCAGTTCTCTTGTACTTTAGCTATAAAATAAATTTTAATGTATACAATTGTGTAAGATGAAAGAATATTTCAAACACTGAAACAGACTGAAACCTTAACAGACCAAAACTTTAACCAAAATATCCTCTTTAACATGCTTTCTAAACTGAAGAGTATGGTCATATAATTGCAGTCATATGAATTTTGTTCAATGATAAATGCAGAGAGAATTTGCAGAATATATAAAGAAAGTCTTATCATTGGGAAATAAGCAGGTCCAGTACAATCTCTTAATTTAGCTATATAGCTTGAAATAGCTATATAGCTTTATAAAGCTATTCAAAATAGCTTAATTTAGCTATTTATATGCAGTTTTTCACAAAAATTATTTTGGTAAGAAATAGACAAAAAGTCGCATGTATTTGACCATTCATATATGTGCTATGGGCTATCGAAACAACAAGCAAAATCAAAGATATCTCCAACTTTGCAACTTTTGAATACTTTTAAGCAAAAGATAAATTTCTATTATTTGAGTAACTGTCCACTACCTTGTGTGCATTGAGGCATGGATAAGTATGATTGCTTCTCATTGTACTGAATTATTACCAATCAATTATCTTCTTGACCATAATTGGCCTCCTTTATAATTTCATTGAAGAAGTAACTGTATCAATTGCGCATGTAGCCTAAAAACTTTTAGAACTTTGAGTACAAAGTCTCTTTTGTTTCTATTTTCCTAATTATCTCCCCTTGTTTAAGGGTCACAACCCTAGTTTTAGTATAAACGGAAGCCCTTGGCCCAAGGATACCCTGTGACAAATTTGACAATAATTGGCCAAAGGGTTCTTGAGTTATGGCCCATATTCTAAAAAGTTTACGCACACCGCACAAATGGCCATAGCATTAGCTCTTTGGGCCTTTGGCTCAGAAGAGCTAAAAATGAACCTCTTACATTGATTTTTGGTTGATATTTTTTACAGTTTTTTTATGAACAATGTACAGTATTTTCACCCAAATTCCAGTATTTTGAGGACTGCTGTACAGTATTTGGGCCTAAAAATTATTACATGAATGCAAGGAGATTTTAATGAGTGAGTTTTATAATGCATCAATTTCAGATGAGTTCAAGGTTGAGTATCATCACTGCACCAAGGTGCGACTTTTTGTGCATGCTGAGAAAAGTACACATTTAAGAAAAACTGATATAAAATAGCTAAATTAAGCTATTCTGAATATAGTTAGAATAATCTAACTGTGTCTCGGGACAATTATAAGCCCTCACCACAGTTAGAATACATCCCATATACTTGCAATGTAGCAAATCGAAGTGGATCCACTCCGAAATGATTTTGAAGAATACAAAAGGAGTTGCATTGAAAATAACTACCAAATTAATCATAACAAACATTTTTGAGATTGTATATGCCTTTTAACCTCCAAATTAATCCATATATATACGAAAATTCAACTCATTTTCTCAACGTTTTTTCCTCGCTTCAAATTTAACGCCATGTTGACATTCGGAACTCTCTGGATTCTTCATACAAAATGCAGAGAATTCGAGTTATCGCCCGTGTTTATTTTGCTACATTGCGAATACACGGAACAAATTCTATCGTTAAACCGGGTCCGTAGGACAATATCATTTTAACGATAGAACGTTCTATCTATTCTGAATAGCTTAATAAAGCTATATAGCTAAATCAAAAGATTGTACTGGATCTGATAAGTGCTTTCAAACATTGAATACTTATAAAACTAGACCCACTGACATGCAACAACTTAATTTCTGTTGATAAATGAAGCGTATTCTGAACAAATTATTTACCCAAACAAAGGTGATGCTGTCACAAGATGACGTTCGTACCCATCTGACACTTACACTACTCCTCCTTAATCAGCTGGTAATAACATCATTATCCTCGATTTCAAGAAAAATCTGTTAATAAATTAGTTGTAATGATGATAACAAAACTATTCTAATCAGATACAAATGTATAATATAAGACTTCTATTTCACCCAAGAATACCCAAGAAACAGGTGACATTCTCTGACTTGTTTACCTGTACTTCGATTGAAATTCTCCTCCTACTTGCTCGCACCCAAGCTTTTACGACCCTCAATTTATCCATCGTAAGTCGGAGAACCCTTCGGCTTTGTACAACTGCTTAACTTTCCTTATACGCTTTGTGTAAACCATAAACATGCATAACGCAATACACATCTTGCATCTCCATGTGTGAGGTACCCGGAAGTTAATATTATCGAAAAATCTCGCGAGTCACGTGACGAGACTTAAAGACCCTAATGCAGCCCGAATTTGCTTGGTTCCAATGAAAATGTAGATAATCTTGAGGAAGGGAGCATTCATTATTTATTGTTGTAAGAAATGCAAATAGGTGATATCACCTATTCGAATTGGTGATATCACCTATTCAAATTGAATAGGTGATATCACTTATTCGAATAGGTGATATCACTTATTCGAATAGGTGATATCACCTATTCAGTACGAATAGGTGATATCACCCATTTGAATAGGTGATATCACCTATTCATTTCTAATAGGTGATATCACCTATTCGAATAAGTGATATCACCAATTCGAATAAGTGATATCACAATTCGAATAAGTGATATCACCTATTCGAATAGGTGATATCACCTATTCAATTTGAATAGGTGATATCACTTATTCGAATAGGTGATATCACCTATTCGAATAGGTGATATCACCTATTCGAATAGGTGATATCACTTTTTGGCAGTAAATACCAAAACGGCGCCTCATAGGTACATATCACATGTATGTTATCATATTTAAGAATATTGCTTATTCCTCTTCAAATTTTATGCTTTGCCAAACTACAAAAAAAAAAAAAAAAAAAAAAAAAAAAAAAAAAAAAAAAAAATACCATCAGATAATATGCCCTCAATCAGGCCAGCAGTTTTGGCTAAAACACACTGTTTCAACACCTTTAAATCCACAAGATCCACCATGTCTAATGTTGAAGCTATACTGCAAATTACTTTAGGAATGACTCAAATTCTTGGCCAAATTATTCGAGTATAACCTGGTTTGGGTCAGTTTACGCTATATAATCCGCGAAGCGGATTATAAAACAGCGTAAACTGACCCAAACCAGGTTATACTCGAATAATTTGGCCAAGAATTTGAGTCATTCCTTATAATTTAATTTTAAAATCATTAAATAACTATGGGTGTAAAATTTCGTAGCTTTTTATTAGTTTAAATTTGCCGCTCAATAATACAACCATAGTAACGGAAGTAACGGAAGCGAGGGGAGGTAAAAACTGATACACAGGCCCAGCAGCGTTGTTGTTTATTTACACGTGGTAAGATCGAATTATTGTTTGAAGTTAAAGGTACATTTATTAAATATGGAATTTTCCATGAATCCCGAGAACTGGAAATGAAATGAGAGGATCGTTTCAGCTGGTTGTTGGGGGGGGGGGGGGTCCCCAAACCAAACCAGGTTATACAGAAATATTTTGTGTTCCTTTTTGGATATTAACCAATCAGAGGCTAGAATACAAACAAAATTAAATTATTAACAAATAACTAATGTGTGCATAATGATAACAAAGGACTTACTCATAACAAATCACTTTTAAATTGAACAGTCACATTCACAATTCCATTTCCTCGCATCACTGCTACAAATCCTAGTGTCTTTTCACTGGAAAATATGCAAGTGTCATTTCACTGTTACAAAATTGTAAGCATCAACTGACTGCTAAAGTTGCAAGAATCACTTCACTGCTAAAAAATGCAAGTCTCCTAACACATTCAATGTAAGGCCAACATTTTTTTATATCCTGTTTTACGGGAGTGTTGACTCTAATTTGGGCTAAAATGAAATAAAAATTAAAGTCCTTAATTCAAATTTTATTTTTATTTCTCCAGCCGATAGTTTATTAAAATTTTATAGTCACTGAAAAAATAAAAGAAATATAAATAAATTAACTTTTCACAAGCCTTTCAAAATGCGATTTGTCATTAGCTGAGGTAAATATATTCATCCAATCACAGTATTCGAAGCATGAATAGTCACTGCACAGCATAGCGCCAAAATGTCAGAATCGGAGGGTTTCATATTTTTTAAAAGTCATTTTAAAAAGTGACGTGTCAATGTCATATATTAGAAAAAGTATAAATTTCAGATAAACTTTTAATGAAAGATTGAATGAAATAGACGAAACAGTAATCTTGATCAAATGTCATGCAGAGGGCCACGTGGAAATCGAGGTTCTGTCAACCGCTTGTTTTGAAAGGTTTTGAGTACGTATTATTTTTGACAATTACTTTAATACATTGAAATACGTCTTGGAGATTTTTTCAAACTTAATTTTAAGACAAGAATGTTTTATTTTACAAGAAACGACAGAACAGAACACTATAGAACTGGGAGAAAGTGGCATAACTGAGGTAATTCGAGTCACAACTTCACTTGTTTTATGACAACTATTGGAATTCAAAATTACCTACGGAAATATATGCTTGATTGATAGAAGACATTAGGCCTAGATAAATAAATTGTGTGTTTCCGGTTCCCCGACCGACCCTAAAATATATGAGGTGAACCCTAAAAAATTGATCGGCAGATAAATTTCCAGGAGTAAACTATTCCAGTTTCACTATAGAAATCCTAATCTCGTTCGCTTCTGTGTTTCAGAAAATGCATATCCTATACACATCATTAATCAAAAATGTTTTGACAATGATGTCCCCAGGGAAAATATTAGCATGCTTGCCAATAAAATATTAAAATAAAATGTTTTCCCTACCTAGCTACCCTATTTTTTCTCAGGTTGGAATAGGAAACACAATATTTATTTATCTTGGCCTTATTTCCTTTTTATCGTTTCATGGAAAATGGCAATCGCTATGTAACATGTACATCATCGTATTAATATCACCTGATATAGTGTATAAATGTATCTCTTGTTCAGTAAAACAACTTTTTTTTACCAATAGGGAAAAGTATTGTTGTAAATGATAATTGCCCTAACAAGTATTAATTAAGACCTGGTTTCTTTTTTTTTTTTTCATTCAAAAGTTGTGGATTAGAACCAATTCAACAATTAATTTTTTGAATTCTGCACTAAACAGAATATTGTCATGTGTATTTTACATGTGTATACTATGGGAAAGATGTGTACTTTCTACAATTATATGTTGATCGAAAGTTAGCAGATGCTCAGAAAAAAAAACATCAGGATAAAAAGAGGTCAAATATACTACAGATTGAGGAAGTTTGAATGTTTTCAATAGAAATATACCAGTACATTATATATTAAATGGAATTGCGTTGAAAATTCTTTTTATACAACTTTTCTTTTTATCATGTCTGATCATGTGCACTTCTGTGAATTTGTTTATTTAGCTGTTCCATTAAATGTCTCACTGTATTTTTGCTATAACTTTGCCAGATCTAGTCCAAAATACTCAGATTTTGTAATTTTCTGAATACCAAAAAATAAAAGAACGTGAAAAGTTTATGAGGGGTGTGACATAAGTCCGATAAGTTTACTGTGGTGACACTTTGATATTTGACAACTGAGAGAAGACTATAGATTTGTATCTTTGATTTGCATTAAAGTTAGAACTGCAAGCTGTTAATACTAGAAATGCAACCCCTGTCCCAAATATCTAAGAGAAAGTTAAATTTAAAATAGTTCATTGATACATTAACAATACCAATTCTGTGTTTTGTATACATAAGTTTTTTAAATAACACTGTTTTCCAAACAAATTATTAGGTCATACAAAAAAATTATCCTTAATTAAAAATAAAAATTTTTATTCCATTTTTTCATTTTACTTTTATTTTTCTGACCGACTGCGTAAAATTCGTGGTTTTATTTTTATTTCTATTTCGACACCCCCAACTCAAATTTTTGATAAAGCTTCCAGTAAAAAAGAGAATAAAAAAAATGTAGGCCTAATGAATTAAAAAATCACTTCCATAGAAAGAATTGCAAGAGACACAAAAATTCACTTTTCCATGAATAGGCTGACTAATAAATTCAATGCGACACATTCACTCTGAAATCGAACACTCGCATTCACAATTCCATTTCCTTGAAACACTGTTGACAAATCCAAATATCAATTTTTCACTGCAAAAAATGCAAGTGTCATTTCACTGCAGAAAATGCAATTGTCTTATCAAAATCAGTGTTACAAATCAATTCATCACCTCCATAGAAAGAATTGCGAGAAACCCAAAAATTCACTTTTCCAGCAATATTCACTAATAAATTCAATTCGACACATTCACTTTGAAATAGAAACACTCGCATTCACAATTCCATTTCCATGAATCACTGTTGACATTTATGCAAATGTACATTTTTCACTGCAAAAAATGCAAGTGTCATTCCACTGCAGAAAATGCAATTGTCTTATCAAAATCAGTGTTACAAATCAATTCAATACCTCCATAAAAAGAATTGCGAGAAACACAAAAACTCACTTTTCCAGGAATATGCAATAATAAATTCAACACGACACATTCACTTTCAAATTGAACACTCACATTCACAATTCCATTTCCTTGAATCACTGTTGACGAAGGGTCAATTTTTCACTGCAGAAAATGCAAGTCTCATTTCACAACATAAAATGCAAATGTCTTATCAAAATCAGTGTTACAAATCAATTCATCACCTCCATAGAAAGAATTGCGAGAAACACAAAAATTCACTTTTCCAGGAATATTCACTAATAAATTCAATGCGACACATTCACTCTCAAATTGAACACAAATTCACAATTCCATTTCCTTGAATCACTGTTGACAAATGCAAGTGTCAATTTTTCACTGCATAAAATGCAAGTGTCATTTCACTTCAGAAAATGCAATTGTCTTATCAAAATCAGTGTTACAAATCAATTCATCACCTCCATAGAAAGAATTGCGAGAAACACAAAAATTCACTTTTCCAGGAATATTCACTAATAAATTCAATGCGACACATTCACTTTCAAATCGAACACTCACATTCACAATTCCATTTCCTTGAATCACTGTTGACGAATGCTAGTGTCAATTTTTCACTGCATAAAATGCAAGTGTCATTTCACTGCAGAAAATGCAATTGTCTTAACAAAATCAGTGTTACAGATTAATTCATCACATCCATAGAAAGAATTGCAAGAAACACATAAATTCACTTTTCCAGGAATATTCACTAATAAATTCAATGCGACA